AAACTGATGCATTTTATCTCGCGTGCCGAAACTAATACAAAAGAAACGCGAGTTTCGGAACGCGACATTAAACTCCTCCAACTATGTATTCTGTGCTCCTACGCACACACGCACATTGTTTTGATAGATATGATCTTTGACGTTAGGAACACACCTACATTGCTTAGACAACAGTGAGTGCTTGTAATTTAATATGAACTTTATGCCATAGCAATAAAGCTCAAATTGACTACGTTTTAGTTACAAATCATTTGTATGGGAAAAAGAAAAGGGCTATTTTTAGGGTTTTTCCAGCAATAATTCTAATTTTTCTCGCTGTAAAAACCATCCTTGAACTTCAACGAACATTTTAAAAAAAGATTTGGCCAAATTGGTCCAGGCGTTGTTGAGTTATGCGCTTACCAACACATTTTGCGATTCATTTTTATATTATAGATATTTGGAAAGTTTGGAAAGAAAAATAAACTGGCAGCTTATATAAAAGCAACTGATATCAGAATTGAATTTCGAAAAGAAAATCTGTTCACATTTATTAACTACTTATTTTGAGGTTAAACTAAACTGATTCACTTCACCGTTTGGTTTATTTCACGGGGACTATTTTCAGTCTCTCTAGAGGGCCTAAGCACTGTTAGCATCCACTTTTAAAATATGGTATATGACCCTCAACATTTATCTTTAGCTTTGTTTAAACATAACAACTGATAGCGCTAGTAACGGGTTATTCTTACAACTCTTTACTAAAGTTTACAAAAAAAGGATTTAGCAAGAACCTATGAAAATAAAATTTCTTCTTATTTCTAACTATGTAAGTTTATAAAAGTTCAGCTAATGACGAATAGGAAATACAGTTAAAACTTACAAAGAATTGTAGTACTACCTAATTTGTAGAACAAATAATAATTTCTTAAAATAATTTTTGCTTAACACACCAAAAGTTTGAGTATACTTTGCAGCCTTAATTAGTAAAATAAATAAATTAGTTGGTAAATCATTTCCCTTACCAAATGGTAACTCGAAACGATAGTCAACCAACAGCGTGTGCCCCGTTGGATTTTTTGTACCCACAACTTCTCCGTCTCTCATGACTAGCTCCGCATCTAAAGAAAGCCACTGACCATTTCCTTCCTTAAAAGAACAAATAAATGTTATTATTACCAAACTCAAATTTAATGAAAATCTACCTATGCTATTTATATGGGTAAATGAGAAAGCTTCATAAAGTGTAAACGATTTTCATTAATGGACAACATAAACAACCACAAAATTGTTTAATTCCTTTTTAAAAAAAATGACTAATAAGTACAGCCAACAAAAGACTACAGGTAGGACCTTAAACTTAATCGTAAATGAATGGGTCTAAAAAGTTTCATGTCCAAAGCAAGAGTCCGCTGCGCGCATCAATTTCGATATTGTCAGTTGTCAAATACAACAGTTTACCCTCTTTACTATACATGTAAACTATGAATTCGCATTCTTAAGAAAAGCAGTTGTAATAGGTAATACGTATGTGCGAATGACATACCTAAACAAAATCTCCTTGTCTATCCGTCAAATTGAATGCGCACTGTCTTACTGCGCAGTGAACTGCCTAGCACAACTTGAGAAAAACAGCTCCAAATTAATATTTTATGGCCTTTACAGCATTCAAATGTAATTTTAGTTTCAGTGCGTACATATATGATAAGTTCTTCGATCTTTCCTTAAATTTGCTGACCTATATTCATCGGCGTCGCCATAAAATAAGCCCTTTGAAAGCATAAATCGGTTTTTTATCCTGTAGGTATCTACTCGCAACACACCAATTGACTCCTATATACCTTAAGTTATTAAATTACGGAATTTTCGAAATTCTATTTAGTAGTTCTCCTGATGATTATTGATTTATAAACGCGTTTGTGAGCGAGATACGACAATTCAATTTCTGCGTTAGGCCAAACGTGAAATAACCACATACATTTCATCGGATTTGAGAGGTGCTGGCATATGTGATAGGAAACATCAAGTATTGTAATTTGATTACACTCATCAGAGTCGAAACAGGTATTCGTTAAAGTGGGAAGAGTTGTTTGATATGGGCCTATAAAAATTATTATCTAAGTACCAAAAATGTATTCAATTTTAAGAGAATTAGGTATGTATTCAAAATATATCTGAATACACAATTTTTAACTTATTTTATTGCAAACAAAGGTAGTAGAAATTACTTTTGAGTCAGTTTTCGCATAAAGTAGCTTATCCAGACCGACAATAGAATCGATTTGAATGAAATTTTGACAACATTTTTTAACTGTTAAAATATTTCGTGATGTAAACTCGAAATAAAAATGTTCAGTCTCTCAGAGTCTCTAAAATCGAGACTTGAGTCTCCATCGCTCATCGAGTCCCTCTGGTGTCGCTGAGAGAGACTGTCGAGAGACTGCTAAAAAAACTGTTTAGCGTCTCTGAATGAGAGACTCGACTCGCGCATAGAGAGATCCTCATTTCGTATCGAGTCTCTGAACGAGAGACTCGAATCTCTCAATAAGTGATGTCTCGATAGACATGGTTAAAATTTTCTAAATTCAACATACTTCAGAGATCCCTGTCTTTCTACGAGAGACTCGAGTCTCTCAATTTTTCAGTTTTGTTCATTCAGTCTCTCTGTGAGAGACTCGAATCTCTGAATTAATAATTTTATCGTTCGAATTTCTCATACACAGACTGTGAGAAATCCATAAAAACACCTAGGCAATAACTGAGAGACTGTGAGAGACGCTCTTAGAGGCGCTGAAAAACTCTGAGAGACTGGAGAGAGACTGAAAATTTTTGTCGAGGGTAGAGGCGAGCTTCCTTAAAATTATTCCAAATCTGTACGCTTGATAGCAAAACAGAAACAGTGTTTGTGTAAGCAATAGGTCCCAAGGTATATATGCTATATCATCTTCAACGATCGTTAAAATAGAGTGCGGGACTACGGGTCATACGGTTCAAGCTTACGTTAACGCGTGCCATAAAACCGCGATTTCAAGAAGATGTAGATTACGCTTTATTGTTCCTACAAAAGTGTATGGAAGTTTTATTGAGCATATTCGCCCTTAATAACTTACACATACAGAAACGTGATCGTATGAATAATTTATCATATCCAATATGTAATAATACTACATATATTACCGTTTCAAAGTCAGTCGCTATTAAAGTTTTACGTTTACCCTTTCATTTAGGTATACTTCGTTTAGTTTCTGCAGCGATGTGACCTTCAGTTTGACTGGCGCAAAGTAGAAAAAAACAGCACTAGGCCAGAAAAGGAAGAGACAAGTCTCGGTCAAACTCTTAACCGGTGAGGAGCGTATAATCTGTACAGTACTGCACGAAAAAATTGACCATTTTGTCCATTGCATTGCTCAAATGTGCTATTATTGGTACCAATTACTACTGAAAATATCAACGAGATGTTTATTTATAATTGAAGACATATTAAAGGCTTTAACGCTTGTTTTCGACTAGTACTACTATTCATGATTGAACAAAACTTTTGGCAGGTACTGTATGAAAAAGTATGTTTAATGAACAATATTCTAGAGTATAATGAGCTTCTTTCTTCCTACCTACGATTTTTCCAGCGCGCATCCAAAACATTGGAAGGGGCACATCGTTAGAGAAAGCAAACGAAGTATATAATGCAAGAGTGGCGTTGACGTAATAAGAAAAACAAAGCTTATTCGGAAGAGCGTTCTTATATATATATAAACGTAGATATTATAACACTATCATGTGTTACAAAAGAAAGATCCGAGTCAGCATTGCCATACCCAATTGTGAACACATGTAAACATCTATAGGAAATCTGTTCCGGATTTCGTGACGCGACAAAATTGAAAACCCAAAGCAATTATGGTTGAAATACGGGTATGTTTTGTTTGTTATTACTGTTTCCGTCGTCATAACGGGGGTTTCAGCACCAAAGACGTCGGGGAACCGATATTGGCAAAAATTCCTAAATGCATTTGTTAGATAAATAACATCGCCAGCAGTGCACTTTGGATAACGAGATACTGAAGTTCTAAAAAGACTTAAGGAAACACAGAAATTGGACTGTTCGATATAGAAAACTATTTTGAAGGGGTTGCTTTAGTAATCTGCGACTTGATAGGCAAGAGAGGATAATGAGAAGGAGGAAGGTAGAAAATACCACACAAAAATGAAACGGCTAGTTAATAATTAAAATTCTGACAAAATTATTATTGTTGGATTGCACACACACATTCACATACACACACACACACACAAACACACAGACTCACGCACACAAACAAAACACACAAACACACACACACACGCACACGCACACGCACACGCACACGCACACGCACACGCACACGCACACGCACACACACACACGCACACACACACACACACACACACACACACACACACACACACACACACACACACACAAACACACACACACACACACATACACACACACACACACATACGGGTGGGGAGCACAGGGGGTAGAAAATTTCAAGTAAAAACGTCTAGTAGGTTACTCAAAACACATTTCGACGTCTTCAACATACGAAGGGTAAAGAAAGGGAACAAGAGGTAGAATATTCCACATTAAAGCGTTTAGTAGATAACCTAAAATGCGTTTTAACGCCCCGCAAGGTACGAACGGAGAAGAAATGAGGACTGGGAGTAGAGAATTTCAACTAAAAACGTTTAGCCGTTTACCCAAAACGAGTGGGGAGCACAGGGGGTAGAAAATTTCACATACAACCGTTTAGTAGGTACGTAACCTAACGCGCATTTCAACGTCCTCAATATACGAACGGTGGAGAGGGAGAACAGGGGGTAGAAAAATACATGTAAAAACGCATGGTAGGTAACGTAAAACGAGTTTCTTCCTCCAAGGAGTGACGGAGAAGGAGGATGACAGGAAAATAGGAAATTCTACATAAAACCAGGTACCTAATTCAAAAGTGGTTTCGACGACCACGACGTCCTCCTCATTTAGAGACTGTTATGAATAATTTTGAATTTTAGCATTTTATTTAGTTCAGGTTCATACAATTCAATTTGATTTTCTCACTTAATATATGTATTTACAATAGACTTATTTTAATTATGCCTCATCATCAGGTAAATGGTAAAATGTACATTTTAAAACACATTGCAGATGTGATATTACAGGATGGTAGTGGAAATTTCGTGAATGAAAAAGGCTAAAAATGAGGAAGTAAGAGATGAAAGTCAATAAGCAAAATGACAGATAAGATGGTAGGACGTCTTGTGAGATTCGAAGGATTACTTAGAGACATAAGTACACAAGAAGCAGGATATAAATAGAGGCAAATGGAGACATAGATTAGATCACAACTCACGCATAGTTACATGTGTGGGATGCTTCAGCTTTCGGAAAATTAAGATAAGATTGGCTTAGGATATGAAGGAGTGGAGCTGTATGCGCAACCAGTCTTCAAACTGACGACCCTTATCATGATGATGATAATGAGATTAGTAATGTGTGCCTGTTTCTTCAGAATGAAGTTTAAGGAGACGTCGCAGTCTAAAATCAATTTCGTAAAATGGATACTTTAAGATGAATAAAAGAATTTTTTGGTCAACGAACTGGAAAATTTCTGAGTGGTGTCAAAAAGGCAATTTAATTCGTCTGTGAATCTTAATATTGAAACCCATTTATTCAGAAAGACTAAAAATATACGTATTTTACCAATTTTCGTTGAGATTACTGTAATTCAAATTAGGTAATTTTAAATTTAAAAATAGAGAAACAGTTTCAAACTAAATCTTGATTTGGTAATAAATTATTCTGCTGAAGGAAAAATAAATTAATAAACTGAAGATTTTTAACGAGCACGGAAAATTTACTACCTACCGATACTCTCGAAATTCAAGTTCGTTACTTTGTATTCGCTGCGAGTAATCCACCGGGTAATAAAGATCTTACATAGATCGTAATGGCTATTGAATGCCGTGGACTTCCGACAATTCGACAACAGATGCAATTACAAGCAACTTCGCTGAGTTCGTGAGCTAAATCCAAAAGTTAACTACGTTGAAACGCATTTTAAATAGTGAATAAGAGCTTGTTCAAGAACCGAAGATAATAGTTAAAGATTTCTTTGGGGATTAGGTCGCTACATCTGCAACATTTTATTGTTAATTTCTAAACCTCTAAAAGCAATCAATTTAACGAAATATTCATTCTCAAAGATGGATATAAGGGTACAATAAATATCACGGCGTATTTTTGAAGTGAATCTTCTTTACGCTCGGTAGGGTAAGTTCGTTTCATGAGTTGCTATGTAACGAAATCATGCAACGCATTTCCCCCGCTGTCTGTCCCTATGCATGTTTAGATCTTTAAAACTACGCAACGGATTTTAATGCGTTTTTTTTTAATAGACAGAGTAATTCAAGAGGAAGGTTTATCTATATAATACATGCATAATATAGTAGAAAAACACTGATAATTTTAGAGGTTTTATCCTTTACTTTTTACGAGAAATAATGGCTTATTTACGAAGCGATTTTAAGCAATACAGCATTAATCCTTATCCAATTAAGTACTTTTAAATACATTGTGCATTTAATATAGATCAATATGGCCCTTTACAGCATGTAATTTAAATGAATATTTTCGAAGATATTACAGACTTAAAATGCAGGGACATAGCGGTTGCGGCGGTACCGGCCGGTTTGTATTGTCTAATGACAAAAAAGCTGTGATTGTTGTATATAAAAACATTCTATAGTATATTTACTATCAGCATTGCACCCGTGCGAAGTATAGTGTATAAATTAAACCAATTCCTTAACGCCTATCCCGGTATGTTTGAAGAAGTTTCACTTCAGTAGCTTGTTGTATAATTACACGTTGTACTTAAAAGATGATGCTACCCTTGGGTTGATAATTTGTTTGTGCTAATTTTATCATTTGATGTACAGTGCAATTGTAGCGTGTAAAGTCCTTAAACTAATATTTTTAGTTCTGATAAAAATTGAACCTAATCTTAATTGAAAATCTAAAATCGAACTGTTAATGAAACGTAACAATAAGTAAATAGACACAATTATTAAAAAAGAAATTCAACTCACCTCTGCCGCGAAATTTACGGTGTGCAAGGGTAAATAATGGTAACCCACTCCACGGTCCCACAACATCCCCTTGTTCCAAACTTCTATTAATAGCCCTGTGTTTATGTCGTTCGTTTCGCTAGAACAAAAGAAAATCAAAATTGATACAAAATATAAGTAAAGATGTAAATTTCTAAAGGTAGTTATCACAACATCAGTAGATGGCAGAGTATAATCAGTTTGCATTTCTTGACATTTTCTAATGATTTTAAATGTCAGAGTCACTCTTGTATCAAATACAATTTACCTGATCTACAGGAACAATATTTTTAGTGTATTTATAGGTAATGTGGTCCCTATCACTAAAACATTTTTTTCGACTGTAAGGTTAATTTAGAGCAACACCTAAAATGTCAAGTTTCAAGGAATTTTGTTCTGATCTAATACAAAATTTATCGAATAAATATAAGAAAATGTTCGCCGCTTCATCACTTAAAATCCTAACGAAAGCTTTGACTGTCAGGAAATTCGGCATAATGATTACAAGAACAACACAAAAGAGAAGGAACCTTCTAGGTAAACAGTTTTTATTTCTTCCCCAATTTATACGAATGCGACAAATTTACAGGACTTTATCAAGGTAGCTTTTTTGCCCGAAGGTTATGTTAGTAATTCTAAGATGATAATGTGCTAGCAAAAAGAACCTACCTTAAAAAACCCTGTAAATAAGTGCGAAATGTCGGTTGTTAGTTTTGGAAGATTAAACAACTTTTCAACCCAAATAAGCTTTAATTTGTCATCTTCTAGATAGGCAAATGTTAAACTTATTCCTTGAACTGTTATTTTATAATCAATTGTTTAATATAAAAAATGAATTATTCTTTTCTAACTTGCAGGATACATGTAGTTTTAAAAAACTAAACAATTTGTAGCTATTCTCATATAAGTACGTTGTCTAAACTTTTATTGCCAATAAATTCAATTCGGCACGAAAATATCTTTATTTTTATGCTTTTTATGAGAACATTCCCATAAAAGCAAGCCGTAAAAACAATATTCAACTTCAACAAGTGAAATTTCAAACACAGCTTGCACGTACAGCAGAATAAAGACTAAATTTTGTTTTAATACTTTCCTAATGTTATTATATTCCAACGGCAGTATATACTTCAACACAAAAAACCGTGAATTCTGTATAAAACAAACTACTCTCTAAATGTAAAACAGATAAAAATTAACTTATCTTCTCATTGAAATAAAAAGGCACTTATGAGCTACTTGTTCACCTTAAGTTAATGACATTTGCCTGAAAAAGTTGTGATCAAAACATTGCAATGTGAAATCAGCATTTTTAATCGATTCATCAGGTATTTGGTTAGTAAAATAAATCACTATTCTATCAGTAAAACTTATTTGACACCACTATTTGCTGGTATGTATAAAGCATTATTACAATTTAAAATATTAGTTTATGTCATTGAAGTCCTGATAATCCTCAACTATTTTTCTTTACTAATTCAATTAGTATATTCAATTCACTAACTAGTTCAGTTAATATTCCTTAATTTGCAGTGGCCTAGCTTAGTTATATCTGTGAAGATTAGTGAATATTCACTGAAGATTGGTGAAAAATCCATTCATTTATTTTTCGAAAATATAAGTCGAAAGTAAAATCAGACACAGAAGATTGTCTAGGTAGATAATAGTTCTAATGACATCGTCTTAAAACAAGGAGGATAATAACTTATGAATAATAGAATTCCCACTCGAAATTCTATACCATTGTACCATCTTATCATAAACCTTAACATTAGCACTTAATAAATACTATATGTATAATAGATTGATTAATTGTTTTAGGTAAGTGATATTATAGACATAATTTGATAATCTACAGACTTAAAACTATCAGAACCTAAATAATTTTTGTATTTTTTTTATTTGCTTATACTGTGGGGCCTTCCTTTGTGGAAAACTTTAAAATCCTAGGTAAACGTTGGTAACTAGACCAATTATAGGTATCATCATCATAAGGTCGTCAGTCCTAAGACTGGTTGGACACGTACCTCCACTCTTTCCTATCCTGAGCTAATCTTCGCAATTCCCTAAAACTATAACAACCCATATCCTTAACTATTTGCGAACAGTAATCTAATCTAGGTCTACCCCTACACCTCCTAACTTCCGTTTCTGCCTCTAATATGTCTCTGACTAGACCTTCATGCCTGAGAAGGTGTCCTACTAACCTATCTCGCCTATTTCTTACTGATTTTCATCTCTGTTCTCCTATTCTTTCTAATACCTCTTCCTTTCTAACCTAATTATAGGTATGCAAAATATAATATTTTCAATTTCAATGACTTTAGCTTTATAAGCTTAAATTTTAGACATTATTAATAATACGGGGCTATTCATGCACTGATCATATTGTTTAATATTAATTTCAACTTTGTAATACTTTTAGTCATTCATGAGAAAAAGCATAGAGAACAAACTCTATCATTTACCTATACAAAAAATATATTTCGAAATAAGAGTGCGCTAGTATTCCATTTGTACCGAGTTATTATTATCATTATTATGATTTACGATGCTACAGCCTTAATAACACTAAATTCACGTCTGTGCAAATGGAACACCAGCGCCCCCTTCTTTAGAAAAATATATGAACATATTTTGTCAAATGTTCCATTTGCGTTTTTGCTCCTTGTGTAGTCTTCATAAGAAAAATGCTCTGAACGGATAGACAAAGTTATTAAGGAACCTTAAAAATTATCCTCCCGTTTTGCTTGAGAAAAATGCAAATTAAAAATGGTAACTTGTGAAAGGAAACCGTTGAAAATTGTCAGTTATTTGCTTAATTAATAACATAATAATAGTTTAAATAAAGAGTTCACACTTACAATAAAAAATCCTGTTCCCAGCATGGTGTCGCTCCTTTAACTGTCACTGTGGTTGATTTTACGTTTTGTAGCTTCAGAGTAACGTAAGTATTAAACTGTGATGCTGGAAAGAAAAAGAAAATTTTGTAAAAACAAACATTTTTACATCCATAATACATTATAAAGGTGCCCTAAAAGTTACTTATTCTAGATTATTTTTCAGTATTAGTTACTTTTTGTTTTCTTAAAAAATATATTGTGAATTAATTCAGTGTATTTACCATTTCCTTGATGGAAATTCATTCTAAATTTTAGATAATAAATACCCAAATTAATTTCCACAGTGATCACATTTCCCTATTCTTAATACTTTGCAATTCTGTACAATTATTGTTAAAATTAAGTCGAATTTTATTGTCTAAAATATAGTGATTTCATCAACACATCTATAAACAAGAACTAGACGACATAATTTGGCTTTACTTAACTTGCATCTATCAGTTTGGAACATACATACGTAACAAGTCATTAAGGCAAGCTTTGTGAATTAATAATGGGCTTTCCCTTGAATTTTCCCAAGTATAGACAAAACGCGTTCCATGTCAAGCTTTAAACCCTAATTGGCACTTTCCTTATTATAAGACATTCAGTAAGGACCTCGTTATTTTGCTGTTTGTGGTTAAAAGAATACATATGTATATCCCTGCACTATAAGTATAAATATCACAAATTCAAGGCAAATAAGACCCCTAAAATTTTGAATATCCCAAGGAAAATTAAAATCAAAGGATTCGAAAAGGACAATAAATAACAGGGCGTAAACTTTAAAAATAAAAATTTCGTAAAACCGACTCTTTTCTGTCCTAATCCTAAAGGAGCATGAAATCCACTTGATTATGGTGGTGACTCTGGTTTTTTGAGATGAAAATCTACAGTTAGGTGCTTTAATATACACATATATATACATAACTTACATTTTCAATTAATGTAATTAATTCAAAAATTCATTTTAAAACCAGAACTATACAAGTTTGACGTCACCTAAATGAATTTTTATCTTGCTTCTGTAATATTAATTAAATTCTTTTATATGCAAACAATTTAAAACAATTGAAATGAACAAAATAATTAAATTCTGTAAAATAAATTAAACTACGTCCTTGTCAATTACCTACCTATGTAATCAAAATTGGTATCCAAAGATCTTTGTAATGGCAGCAATATCTTCACATTACGTAATTCTTGTAAAGCTTTTAACACCTCTAATAAAGTTTATTAAAATCATCTTACACTAAATTAAAAGATGTGTTTCTCCTTGCAAAACCCGGAATTAGTTTCATACGCGATAATATCACTATGATTTGTAAATATTGTTCTCTTAACTCACATTAATCCACTATATATGTAGTAATATTACACTGTTAATTTACAACAAAATGTATAAAATCTGCCGAACATGCTTTCTGCAAATCATTCAAAGGATTTTGATATCAAATATGAAGACGTGCGCAGGTCCTAGGTTAAATAAATGACCAATGTGACTTTCACATTTACTCTAACCAAGTTGAAAAATACATGCCGCATGACTCACTCTCTCTCTTTCTCGCTTCACTACACCACGTTCACTTTCAAGCACGTCAGATAAAGATAGATGCACTGCTCGTCGAGGAGACTTAATAAAAAATGTAGCAAATAACTCAACTCAGAATAAATAAATATTACATTTTCATACAATATACTTAAAATATACTTGTTTTTAAGGAATCTATAGTTTATCGCATAATTGACGAGCTATATTACTGGAAGGACACGAAATGATGATTATTCTAAAGTCCTCTACTTACTACAATATTTGAGATATGCTGTTTCTTATCTGTCACTTCTGATACTATCAAATGTATGTAAATAGTTAGGTAAAATAATTAATAATCAACTTTAGAAAAACACTTCCATCTCATAATTTCATGATCAAACTCAATTTTAAAATAAATTAGATCATGATGATTTAGACCAATTATAGGTATCATCATCATAAGGTCGTCAGTCCTAAGACTGGTTGGACACGTACCTCCACTCTTTCCTATCCTGAGCTAATCTTCGCAATTCCCTAAAACTATAACAACCCATATCCTTAACTATTTGCGAACAGTAATCTAATCTAGGTCTACCCCTACACCTCCTAACTTCCGTTTCTGCCTCTAATATGTCTCTGACTAGACCTTCATGCCTGAGAAGGTGTCCTACTAACCTATCTCGCCTATTTTTNAACCGAGCGGCATGGCCTAGAGGTTTAGACCATTGCTTAGCATTCGGGAGGACGCCGGTTCGATTCCGGGTCCGTCTGTCTTCGCCCAAGTTTTCTGTGGTTTCCTTGGATCACTTAGGCAAATGCTGAGGCAGTAATATTCCACAGGTAATCTTTCATTCTCTTCTGTCTGCATTTCATCCGTCTCATCTTTCTCACCCGAACACCACCCACGCATTCCCACGATTCCTGAAAGCAGGCTGAAGAGGGCCTTCCGCCCTACCTTCCAGCGTAGTCCGGAGGGACTGCCCGCCCACCAGCAATACTGGCTGGTGGGAATGAAACACCCAAAAGAGAAGATTTGTACTTCTACACCTTCTAAGTCAGTAGACCTGTTACTTTTCACCCGATTGAGTTAATTATCTACCGTTTCTGTAGCATGTAGTGATCTATGTTTTTGTGTTACTATTGGAGTTTTAAAAATTCTAAAAAGATTGTTAAAAATGCATACTTAAATCATGTTTCTGTACGGGTGCGAAATGTGAATAGTGGGCGAGACAGAAAAGAAACTAGAAGCGCTTGAGATCTGGTGTTAGGGAAGGATAACGAAAGTAATGCGAAAAAGCTAGAAATTGAAGAAGCAGGAGGCAGAGGACACTTCGGAAATCAGTAAGGAAACGAAGAGATTAGACAGTAGGACATCTTCTGAGATATAAAAGGTTATCTAGGCACATATTAGAAACTTAAACATGAGTGCAAAGAGGCATAGTGGGCCTAGATTACATTAGAAGTAAGTATTTGGATAAATGAGGTAATTGAATTCGCTTCACACTTTAGATAACGGACTTGTATTTCTGTTTAGAGATTGAGAGCAATTCCTCCAAGTGTTTTTCGAATATATAACAGGAAATCAACCATCAATGCTTATATATGTGGCTTTAGCTCTAAAAAAAATAAATTTACCTAAGGTTTTCATTAATATTCCCAAAATACACGTAAATATTCCTGACTGATGACAATCTCAACCAAAATACAATTTGCATATTGGGTTAATCTTTTTTTACATACGTGAAATAAAAATAAAGCGCTATAAGTTTTAATTTCACCCTCTGTTGCCAGTGCAACACGCTTTTTATTAACATTTAGTCATTTACGAGAACTACCATTAACATATTTCTATTGCTCTAGCTACAATAAAACTTGTTATATACCCCAAATACAGAATCATTTCAGCAAATGTTTCTCATAAAATTTAAATCAAACGAGCGGCAAACTTCTGGTTTATGTTTTTTTATAGACTGTAAGATAAAACANCGTAAAACCGACTCTTTTCTGTCCTAATCCTAAAGGAGCATGAAATCCACTTGATTATGGTGGTGACTCTGGTTTTTTGAGATGAAAATCTACAGTTAGGTGCTTTAATATACACATATATATACATAACTTACATTTTCAATTAATGTAATTAATTCAAAAATTCATTTTAAAACCAGAACTATACAAGTTTGACGTCACCTAAATGAATTTTTATCTTGCTTCTGTAATATTAATTAAATTCTTTTATATGCAAACAATTTAAAACAATTGAAATGAACAAAATAATTAAATTCTGTAAAATAAATTAAACTACGTCCTTGTCAATTACCTACCTATGTAATCAAAATTGGTATCCAAAGATCTTTGTAATGGCAGCAATATCTTCACATTACGTAATTCTTGTAAAGCTTTTAACACCTCTAATAAAGTTTATTAAAATCATCTTACACTAAATTAAAAGATGTGTTTCTCCTTGCAAAACCCGGAATTAGTTTCATACGCGATAATATCACTATGATTTGTAAATATTGTTCTCTTAACTCACATTAATCCACTATATATGTAGTAATATTACACTGTTAATTTACAACAAAATGTATAAAATCTGCCGAACATGCTTTCTGCAAATCATTCAAAGGATTTTGATATCAAATATGAAGACGTGCGCAGGTCCTAGGTTAAATAAATGACCAATGTGACTTTCACATTTACTCTAACCAAGTTGAAAAATACATGCCGCATGACTCACTCTCTCTCTTTCTCGCTTCACTACACCACGTTCACTTTCAAGCACGTCAGATAAAGATAGATGCACTGCTCGTCGAGGAGACTTAATAAAAAATGTAGCAAATAACTCAACTCAGAATAAATAAATATTACATTTTCATACAATATACTTAAAATATACTTGTTTTTAAGGAATCTATAGTTTATCGCATAATTGACGAGCTATATTACTGGAAGGACACGAAATGATGATTATTCTAAAGTCCTCTACTTACTACAATATTTGAGATATGCTGCTTCTTATCTGTCACTTCTGATACTATCAAATGTATGTAAATAGTTAGGTAAAATAATTAATAATCAACTTTAGAGAAACACTTCCATCTCATAATTTCATGATCTAACTCAATTTTAAAATAAATTAGATCATGATGATTAGTACATGACTGTATTGACAGATTGACATTGTTCACTATATCATCATCATCATCATCACCAAAAGGTCGTCAGGAAGCTCCCTTGTCGTAGATTTAAAATTTAAGGACGCAGAAATTTCAAAATTATTAGGCTTATAATGTTCTCTAAAGGACGTGTAAATTATAATGGCAGATGTTACTAAGTTTCAATAGATTCCATTCCTACCCTTACCTAAATAATTTGCAAAAGATCAGAGCCAAAACAAGATTGTTAATCATTTTGTTGATTTGAAACTAACGGCGACGTTTCGCCTCTAGTTAGAAACCTTTGTCAAGTTAGGATTTTACAGTTCAATTGCTTTAATTTCAGAGACTCTCATATGTTTCAAACTAAAACAACTGAACTATGAAGTAAAAACCTGCATTGAAAAGGCCTTCTTACTTTTAGCTACATTAACTGTGAACATTCATTCAATGAGAATAAATTTATTGAATCATTTAAGTTAGGTTTAATGTTGAACTTCGGTTAATGGGTTTGCATATTGTATAAACACACTAGGGATAGTTTCTGCAAAGTTCGTACATTTAATAAAAAGTTTTAAGTGTGATTTATTTGCCGAGAGACCTTACTCTCCCAAACGCAACAGGATTCGGTATACATTGAAGCTTCAGGAAGATAATTAATATTAATGATAAGGCCCTTTTACGTATTACGGTAACCAAGCAATCACAGTGCATTGTACCCATACAAGGTTAATGACTTTCCTGGTTTTGTATCCTTCTCAATTGGTAAAACAAAAAGCGCAAGGAGATGTGGATTTATGTAGTAGATTTTTGGTTTTATAAAGAGATAGTATTAGAAAAAGTAGGAGAACACAGGTTAATAAGAAATAGGCGGGATAGGTTGGTAGGCCACCTTCTCATGCATGAAAGGAAAGGTTAGATTAAATTTCAAAAATTTTCAGGTAAGTACATTTTTTATTCTGTTACTTAACATTTTCATCGAAATTTAATTCGGTTTCGTAATTATTCCCTAAATTGTTAACACATTTAATATTTTCCCAATCGGAATAATTTTCCGAAACATTTTAACATTTACTGATGAAAATGATCTAAATACTTTTAATCTTAGAAGAATTTCATTATTCAGCAAATGTAATTGATTGTATGCGCAGGTTAGATAAAATCAAGTGTTTACTCTCGAACGAAAATTAACCTCGGTGAGGTAATTGCCCTTTCCTAAAGACAAAAGGCTAAGTAAGAAATTTAAAGTCTCAAAGTTAACTAATAAAAACCAAAAAAGTTCTTTAAGTATCTACTCTTGTTTAGTTAATTAAGTTTTGGGCAACTTTCGTTTCGTAAGATGTTGTTGTAGGTACTCAATAATTAGGACTTTGTGGATATGTAAATACTTCTTTAAAACTTTGTTGCTGTATATTAGCATAAAGAGTTATTTATTTCGACAACCTAAAGCAGTGTAAAACAGTGGCGTTACGTGGCGTGATTATTTTAAACAGTCAATTATAAATCCACTTTCCCTTTCTTCTTCTGATTTTAAAGTACAATGTAAAATCAAATCGCGATTTCGGTATTATTTGATATCATCAGCACGCCGTAGGCAGTCTCGATAAGCTACCACCATATACCACATTAAAGGGGTTCATTAAAACAGTGTGCAGAATTCAACGTAGTTGAGACAGCGAATGATAGAACATTCTAAAGTTAGGTGACGATTACATCGACTAATGAAACAATCAAAGTAATTGGGCTACTAGAACAAACAAAATAGCTCAAAAGTCCAACGCCAAAACACGAAACTGTAGTTGTACTGTTGAAGGTTACCTTCTTCAGGGACCGAAGTCCCTGAAGTCCCTGAAAAAGGTAAACTTGTTACCGAAAAGTGCTTCGGACAACTACAGTGTCGTGTTTTGGCGTTGGGGTTTTGAGCTATTCTGTTTGTTCTACAACAACCGCCAAAGTTTTTCCAATCTTCATATTTAATTAGGCTACTTTTGATATCCACAATTTAAAAATCGTCAAGTTTATCAATTATCCATCTTAGTCTTAGTCTCGACCTTGGTCTTGCTTATTCTGTCTTCGTCTTTTCGTCATTCCTAAATACGTCACTAAAAGGAAAGAGGTAAAGGAAATGTATCTGTATTCCTTTATTTCCTCATTATGTACGTAAGCGGGTTAGTTGGGAGGATATATATTGTCATGAAAAGCGTTTTTAGTTCTAAATCCCGCAGGGCGTGAAGAGAAATGGCCGCCATAAATATCAGCCGTTCAGTTTTTCGAGGGTTGATCATTATTTTACGAACAAATTACCACTTTTGTTCACCGTTCATAAATCTCACTGTGTCTTCGCGTTTAAATAGATAAATAAAGCTTTTTATCGACAATAACCGCAGATAATTACCAAATTTTGATGAACGAAATTAGTCTTTGTCTTGATTTTATCAAAAACCAAGATCATGACTTTATCCGCAAAAAAAAGAGCTGACCAATTTAAAAACAACATAGGAACCATCATGAAAATGGTGAAGGTAGGTATAGACCTGAACTATCCCCTATTTTCCAATTCCTTTTTTAAAAAGGACAATTTTTCTTCAAAAACTATTTAAAAAAAGCCCCCCCCTCCGACTTTTTCATGTAATTTTTGTATAATTAGACCATCTTAAGTCATTTCCCGCAAAGGAAACTTCACCTACCTAAAAACAACATAGGAATCATCATGAAAATGATGAAGGTAGGTATAGACCTGAACTATCTCCTATTTTCCAATAACATTTTAAAAAATGGCAATTTTTCTTCAAAAAAATATTTGAAAAAAGGTTCCCCCCGACTTTTTCATGTAAGTTTTTCACAATTAGACCATCTTAAGTCATTTCCCGCAAAGGAAACTTAAGTTTTCGGAAAAATCGTGATACGTACTAATTATTAATGACAACGTGATAGTGTGTGATTGAAATTAGACCAGCTTCAAAAGAATTCACCTACCTACCTATATTCCAGGCTTATGTAGAAGATGCTCACAATTTAACTGAGGGAATGTTCTTATGATATACTAGTTTCTTTTGTAGGTACAGTAATACGTGTTTAAAATATTCTGGTACAGTAAAAATTGACTCCTTTATGAGCCAAACTTACTTAAGTTATTCTAATTTAAATCACGAAACTTAATTTTGAGTTATCACTATTCCAAAAACACTTTCAATGGACGAAACGTAATAAAATAAGATTATTTCGAACAAAATCTGATTTGCAAATGTTTTGTCAGTGATTCTTACCTTGAACTCCTACAAAGCGGGCTTTTTTCACTGAAAAAGAAAAAGGAAATTAGTTTTAATCCAGCATCAAATATTCACACTTAAATCTAATGCTACTAATACTAATAAAGAAATTTGTGAAACTTTTACAAGTGTTCTTTTTCATTTATTTTTTATATCTAACGTATTATTGTTCTAGGTAAATACTTTTTCAGATCAACTTATGCGGTTAAATTCAATGCGTTAATGAATTAATATTTTTTTAATTAACTTTGCCCACTCCAGATAATCTCATATTATTGAGGAAAGAAAAAATTATTGCTACCGTCATTCCCTCGTCGGGAATAGAACCCGCGTCTATGTAATTACGCACCAGTATTCGACGATTAAGCTACGAGGAGTATACAGCAGCATTTTTCCTCGTTAAATTGAGGTTAACTGTAGTGAGTAAAATTAATCCAAAAAAAAATTAATTCCTAATGCATTGTTAAAATTTATTGATCTTAATTATGTTCCTACACGATAATTATCGTGTTGTTATTCAGTAAAACCTAAGTTCAGCTCAGTTCAATTCAATTATTCGGTGACTTTCATCTAAAATTCCTAAATATAGTGTCATCATTACGAAAATTCATCCTAACGTTATGCAAAGCATACCTACTTCGAAGGAAGTAGACGCTTTCAAAGATATGTGCAAAGTTTAACGGATGCAAAATTTCCTCTTTAAACTTTAGAATCTCCATAGTTTGAATCGTTTCCAAATATTCATGAATTTGTACATACGTCTTTGTGACAGAAACATGGAATTTGTCAGCAATAAGCGGCCACGGTTGATTTGAATTATTCATGTTGCTTAGATGTTGATATACAAAATATTCCAACAACCCCCAATTCGAAAAAGCATCTCGAAAGACAACTATATAATGTATTCTAAAAGCGAACCCTCGAACAAGTTTATTGTTTTTTCTATTCTCTGTCGAAAATCAAAAAAACGACGAATCTCTCTCTTGAGAATTGCTCCAGCTAGCTCTAAATAAGTTAGGTTAGGTTACACTTAGGCAGGTAAAATTAGGTTAGTAATGGCCGAAGAAAAATGACACGTGCCCATTTTTATGACTATTTAATGTAACTAATATAAGCCCTGTTGTTCATTTTGTAATGCAAATATGCTAACATTCTGTTAAATACAATCACAGATAAGCTACTTTTAATTTTTGTAGCGTTAATTTACTATAATTGTGAACTAATTTTTGAATTAATTTTACCCTCTAAGATAACCTCAAAGTCATAAGAAAAATTTATTAATACGTTAAATTAACGNTGGCAACATTCTCATATTTTGCTTGTCTGCATCTCTTTCTGTTACACATTAATTTTCTTTATTAGTGTCCGCTGCAATTCCTACCTGACATCTCTTTTCTGTGCTTATGATATTCTGTAGAACTGTCTTCAAAGCCCTTTAAAAATGCTGGCAACATTCTCATATTTTGCTTGTCTGTATCTTTTTCTGTTACACATTAATTTTCTTTATTAGTGTCCGCTGCAATTCCTACCTGACATCTCTTTTCTGTGTTTACGATATTCTGTAGAACTGTCTTCAAAGCCCTTTAAAAATGCTGGCAACATTCTCATATTTTGCTTGTCTGTATCTTTTTCTGTTACACATTAATTGGTGTAATATGTTATTTTTTTTATTAGTGTCCGCTGCAATTCCTACCTGACATCTCTTTTCTGTGCTTATGATATTCTGTAGAACTGTCTTCAAAGCCCTTTAAAAATGCTGGCAACATTCTCATATTTTGCTTGTGTGTATCTCTTTCTGTTACACATTAATTTTCTTTATTAGTGTCCGCTGCAATTCATACCTGACANCAATTTGACCTTATCTGTAGTGGGTAAAATTAACTCAAAAGTTGATTGCATATAATAAAATATCCCTACGTTCGGTTCTTAAGTTGCCACTAGTGTATATGAGCCCAAGGTGTAAGTTCCTTATACATATTATTCATCTTAATAAATATTCGCTCCTTTATCTTACTCAAAGGGATCGCGAAGGTTTCCATTTGGGGAGCCATTGATTAGGAAAAGCACATGTCTAATTAATTTGTTATATGCATAAGTTAGACGTCTAAAATTGATAGAATCATGTTCCCTTTAGTCACATATAGTTGGGACTACCAAAATTGTCAAAATCCGTAATAAATTATCTGAGAGGATGGACGTATCTTCTTTCTTGTTTCCACTTGGGACTGTAGTCATTTGCTGCATTTTTAACACGCCCCTGTTAAGTTACGAAATGCTTCATGAGGAATACAAACAAAATGAAAAGAGATAGCCGAATAATAGTAAGCGGTGCAGCTGTTACAGGTTGCTTAGGTACGCAAAGGTCAGGGTCGGCTTTATAACTGCCTGTTTGGAGTTAAACAAGGGTCTTTATAGCTTAAATTGCTGAGAATGTTGAACTGTCTTCAAAGCCCTTTAAAAATGCTGGCAACATTCTCATATTTTGCTTGTCTGCATCTCTTTCTGTTACACATTAATTTTCTTTATTAGTGTCCGCTGCAATTCCTTCCTGACATCTCTTTTCTGTGCTTATGATATTCTGTAGAACTGTCTTCAAAGCCCTTTAAAAATGCTGGCAACATTCTCATATTTTGCTTGTCTGTATCTTTTTCTGTTACACATTAATTTTCTTTATTAGTGTCCGCTGCAATTCCTACCTGACATCTCTTTTCTGTGTTTACGATATTCTGTAGAACGTCTGTCGCAAGTAAAAATAGACGCTATTTCAGCAGCCGCTCAAGTCTAGTTAGTAAGTTGAAAGAAGAAAGTAAATACAAAAATTATTCCTACACATTCTATTGGATTAAATTAGGGTGAATTAGTTTAAGTTAGATTAAAATGACAAACAGTTTGTATTAGTAGGTTGTTCTGCTTTTCTAGAAATATATACGTAGATTGTCTCGAGATAGGAAGAAGTGGATGAACACTTTGTTGAAAGTTTTATGTTACAGACATTTCAGAATTCAACTTTGCCACTTAAAACGACAGGATATTTAATGTAAGTAATATAAGTTAAGCACAACTGCGGCGGAGTCAAGATTCTCATCTTATTACAAACTTATAAAAGTAATTTGGCATGCCGCTTGCCGGAACCAATTTTCATTGCAATTATTAAACTTCAAACTATAATATTGTAGAACAGCATAGGCTTTTACTGATTGTAATAGGCAAGTGAATTGTCTTCTGAAGGAAAATACAAGGAAAACATCACTAGGCATATGTATTACAAAAATACATATTTTTTAGACAATAAATATAAAATTAGAATCCACTGTAGTTAACTTGAATAGATAATTCCGAGAGTTGAAACAGTGTAATTAATGGACAAAATTATAACGGTAGAATAAATTCAACACAAAACATAATAAATGTATCCATATGTATGTGGATACGTCAGCAACGAGCCACAGTTTATTTCCACTTAATTAAACTCGACCGAAGCATCAACGAGTTAAAATAATTAATGGCGAATAACAGACGCAGGCTCAATAATAAACTGAAATAATCCAATATGTACCTACCGTCATGTCATAATGAACAAACAGGGACAGCGCTTGACCCATCATGGACCTATCGAAAAAACGATTAAGATCCGAAAATTTTCAACAATTTGCGTAGCACCTACCACTAAAATTTCTATTTACTGAACAAATACCAACTAAATATAAAATATGAGGGTTGCTTTTCTACTTCAACCGAGCGGCATGGCCTAGAGGTTTAGACCATTGCTTAGCATTCGGGAGGACGCCGGTTCGATTCCGGGTCCGTCTGTCTTCGCCCAAGTTTTCTGTGGTTTCCTTGGATCACTTAGGCAAATGCTGAGGCAGTAATATTCCACAGGTAATCTTTCATTCTCTTCTGTCTGCATTTCATCCGTCTCATCTTTCTCACCCGAACACCACCCACGCATTCCCACGATTCCTGAAAGCAGGCTGAAGAGGGCCTTCCGCCCTACCTTCCAGCGTAGTCCGGAGGGACTGCCCGCCCACCAGCAATACTGGCTGGTGGGAATGAAACACCCAAAAGAGAAGATTTGTACTTCTACACCTTCTAAGTCAGTAGACCTGTTACTTTTCACCCGATTGAGTTAATTATCTACCGTTTCTGTAGCATGTAGTGATCTATGTTTTTGTGTTACTATTGGAGTTTTAAAAATTCTAAAAAGATTGTTAAAAATGCATACTTAAATCATGTTTCTGTACGGGTGCGAAATGTGAATAGTGGGCGAGACAGAAAAGAAACTAGAAGCGCTTGAGATCTGGTGTTAGGGAAGGATAACGAAAGTAATGCGAAAAAGCTAGAAATTGAAGAAGCAGGAGGCAGAGGACACTTCGGAAATCAGTAAGGAAACGAAGAGATTAGACAGTAGGACATCTTCTGAGATATAAAGGGTTATCTAGGCACATATTAGAAGCTTAAACATGAGTGCAAAGAGGCAAAGAGGACCTAGATTACATTAGAAGTAAGTATTTGTATAAATGAGGTAATTGAATTCGCTTGACGCTTTAGATAACGGACTTGTATTTCTGTTTCGAGATTGAGAGCAATTCCTCCAAGTGTTTTTCGAATATATAACAGGAAATCAACCATCAATGCTTATATATGTGGCTTTAGCTCTAAAAAAAATAAATTTACCTAAGGTTTTCATTAATATTCCCAAAATACACGTAAATATTCCTGACTGATGACAATCTCAACCAAAATACAATTTGCATATTGGGTTAATCTTTTTTTACATACGTGAAATAAAAATAAAGCGCTATAAGTTTTAATTTCACCCTCTGTTGCCAGTGCAACACGCTTTTTATTAACATTTAGTCATTTACAAGAACTACCATTAACATATTTCTATTGCTCTAGCTACAATAAAACTTGTTATATACCCCAAATACAGAATCATTTCAGCAAATGTTTCTCATAAAATTTAAATCAAACGAGCGGCAAACTTCTGGTTTATGTTTTTTTATAGACTGTAAGATAAAACAAAT